CGGTGGGATATACACTCAGAGTAACACCACAAATATCATATTCACCTGAGTACACTACACTAACACAGAAAAAAATTCATATTACTAGAATACATTGGTATCGAAGGAACTAGATTCTGTTCCGAAATATCAGTTACTCGAACCGTCCTGACCGCGTAGCTCAGTTGGAAGAGCATTGGGCTAGTATTCCAAAGGTCGTAGGTTTGAATCCCACCGTGGCCGGGCATATTTTTCAAGCTCGCCCGGTGTGGATATACACTCAGAGTAACACCACAAATATCATATTCACCTGAGTACACTACACCAACACAGAAAAAATTCAAATTCACTTTCGTTATATGTTAGGCTGATCAGTCTCAATACAGTTCATCACAATGTTGTACGTCCTGTAATAACGGTGTTCCTGGCGTACCCGGTGTCCCAGGAGTTCAAGGAATGCCTGGTACCAAAGGTGAACCAGGCTCTTCATGTGTTATTGGTGCAACGAGTCAAAATTACACTGGCTTACCGAACTGGAAACAATGTACATGGACAACTGGTGATCACAGAAATTTTGGATTAATAAAAGTTTGTATACTTTGTAATTTTCGAATAATAGTAATTTGCGTGAAATAGTGTAGGCAATCACCCCAAGGTATTGAAGTCGTGTGATATCCTTATAGCCCCACAAAAATAAAAGTTGGAGGGCTAAGCCCCCCCCCCAAAAAAAAAAGAAATGGATAGGATTCCGGTTGGGCAAATTTAGAGAAAAAATTTAGGAAAAGTGAAAGAAAATAGGTACATGTATTAAAAATATCAAGTAGGAAATATGTTAGGAAAATAATCTTTACAGATGTATTTGAGGATCTCAACCGCGGATTCCCTGAACATCTACAACTATCGGAGGGAGGGGGGAGTTTATCATTTAAAGGCCAAGGGAGTTCGAGGTTAATGGACTTAATGGAGAAAGTGGGATTAATAGAGTGAGTGGATATATACATGCCAACTGAATGCTTGCAATGAAATTATTTTATTTTAGAACTGCCCATTCAACAAAAAGTATGAGGAAAGTTATCTGCGAATCTTCTATGCGGGCAATCTTCGAATTAGAGACTGCGATAACTGCTGCAAGCGATATTATTTTACTTTCAACGGAGCAGAATGCAGTAGCCCACATACCATTGATGCAGTTTTCTATATTTGGAAAGGAAAAGGCACGACAGAAATTCATCGTCATCGCCATATAGAGGGTTATTGCCGTGTCCCTAAAGGTAACATCAACGTTGGCTTCCTGATTGGTAATTGTCCGAATTATGGCGATGCTGATGCTCATAGTGGTTGGCTTTCAGTATCCCGCATTGGAATTGAAGAATTGCCTCCGCCTCAATCTTGACGAACGTTATAACGGTCTTTTGTGCAGTTTCTGTTTCAAACATATGAAAATATATTTGCATGGGTATTTGATTTTGATTCAAACTAGATAAGTTGAATAAGGTCATAGTTTCGACATTTGGGAATGATTTTGATACATATACTCTTTGATATTTCGAAAATCTCTTAAATATATTAAGATTTAAGATTCAATGACAGCAAACTCTTAAATATGATTATAATTTTGAAAGTCTTGAAGCTTATCTGTTTCCGTTTCCGAAAATTTCTTAAATATATTAAATTCAATGATAGTAATTACAATTAAGTAAATATATAATTATAATTTTGAAAGTCTTGAAACTTATTTGTTTCCGTCACTTAATTGGGAGTATAAATGTGCATGCATAACGCGTATAATGAATATATGACCGACTACTACCGGCCGTTTATAATCAATTCATAAAGATTTCACCTACCCATATAGTTATATATTTTAGGTTTACATATATATAAATACTAGAAAATACATGCATGCAGAGACCCTCGCCTTGCTGACAAAACCGTTGTATTTTCCGAACATGAAGTATCTAAAGTAGTTGTCATGGTAACACGATAATTTTTTAAGAATATTCTTACAAATGAAAATCGCCTAAAAATATCACTTTTAATTACAAAATTATCAATTTCCCAACATATATATGTTAGGTATGTAATTATACGTAATAGAAGCTTCAATTTAAGGTAAAATTCAACCACAAACAATTCACAAAACGTTTGAAAGTGTTCTTTATAACTAAACTGCCTTTAACTATTAAATGGCTTTATCGATAAACTTTGAGTTTGCAATAAAATGATTTCAAATTCTCGCTTGCAAATAACTTTGCTTTATTTTTTATTTAAAAAATTCAATATAATAAAAAAGGGAATCAATATTAAAGATACACTGAAATTATATGCTGTCTTGTTTAGTTGTTTCATATACACAAAGGCCGTCGGGTTTTAAAGCCATTATAAAATCAATATTTAAAACAAACTTACCTTCGTTAACATCGGCTCCCTTCTTTTAGTTGATTCTTTCGCCCTTTCGTTCTTGAAATTTACAAAATCTTGCAGAAATACGAGCAAAAATGAAGAATATTTGCAAGAAATTTATCAATCATCAACTCATCAAATCAAGAAATGTTTGCTATTTCGCTGTCGTGATGCAGTCGTTATCATGCAAACTTTAAATTGGACCAATCAGTGTCCGTTATTCATGACAGTCCGCCATATTTTTGAGATCAGTGAGGATGACCACCCATCGTTGGTGACCGACGCCCGCGCTCATTAGCGAGGTTTAGCAAAGACGACGCGACGTGAAAGACGACGTGAAAATGGCGTAAAAATGGCGTGGGCACATCCATAGATGGGCATATCACGCCATTTTTACGCCATTTTCACGTCGTCTTTGACGTCGCGTCGTCTTTGCTAAACCTCGCTAATGGCTTCTTAGGGATGACGTCATCTGCCAATAAGATGCAAGTGTTTCTCTGGCAAATAGGCACTGTCATCCTTATTCAAAGCATGATTACTAGGTAGTTAAGAAGCCACATTACAACTTTAGATCGCCCCTGAAGAAAACACTAAACTGGAGTGTCGAAACGTTGGTTCTTGATTACAATTTGACTGAGCGTTGTATTCATTTATATAATCCAGAGGCGAAAACGTGATTGATATACAGTACTTGGTTGCCGTGAACGAACAACCTTAACCATTTGAAATCGTACTACTTTTTATTCACCCTGTACACTAAAGAAGTGAAAATCGGGCTTTAATTAAACCAGAAATAAACGAATCTGTTCCTTGCACTAAAATACGGATTTTTGTCGAAAATTCCTGTGCTTCTACAGCATGAAACATATACTATATATAGGGTATAATTTTTGGTAAATTTGACCACGTTTCGTAACTTGCAACGAAACTTTATCTGATCAGTAACCCAATACAGATGATCAGGCGTTTTTGGAAGTGTTTCCACTTATAATCAAATAA